ACAGTATGAAATAACTCAAACGATAGTTTTACACAATTGAAATAAATATGCTGCAACTTTTAATAGGGAATAGAATTATTTTTTCAATTTAACCTATTTTACAATTAGATACAGTTATTACCGTAATTACTATGAGTTTTAATTAAACAATAATAAAATCCAATACTCAATATAGATCAATAATATCCTCTGTAAAACGAGATATATACAGTGGTGTAACCTATTTTCGTGGATATAAGGATTCAACACCGAATTTCGTCAAGGTTAAAAAAACGAAAAAAAAATTTATGTCTTAGATGTTTCCTTAGATATTCTACAAAATAATTAAAATCGGTTTATTTCGATTTTCTTTATGAATCCTTCACTTTGACCCATATTTCATGAGCAACCAACTCGGCAACGGCGGCAGAATGCGACACCTATTTTCGTGTACAATGTTTGATCTATAAATTAGTCTAGAAACGTTGTATGGATACCAGGTGGTATAATTAATTTCTCTTAGTATTTATCTTTAATATCAATTCATTATAACTAGTGACAATTCCTTCAAAGAACCACGATTTTAAAAAAAATAGTGACTGACAAAATAAAATACGCAGCGTGATTTATTGCTAAAAGTTACTGAAACAACATAAGAATATGGTCCACTTTGTGTTCCATAGAAATTTTCTGCTGACACAGAATCCGCTAGTTGATCACGTAACTTCATTCGTTGGAATATATTCTAGCAGACGACTTGGAATTCCGATTACCACTTGGGATTATAAGGAAATTCGGCCGATAAAAGATGGTGACGTTTGGTAATAAGTCAAATCCGCTATTTTGTATTTGTCAAAGTATACATTATTACACTTTACCTTGCTTGAAACTACTGGATTCATTCTACTAGCTGATATTGTAGAGAAAACCCATGTCGCCCAAGTAAATTATTAATCCTTTCCGGAAATCCACGAATAATAGGTTTCCACGAAATTAGGTTACTTTACTGTACTACACTTCAAACTTAATGTTTTCTTGTTGAAAGACAAAAACAAAGAAGCTAGGAAGCTGGTTAAACTGTCACCTATAGTACATCTAGCAGGCGACAAAATGAAACTGCCAACATGACATACGCCAACTGAGCAACTGAAATATAAAAAGACAATAAGAAACAATATTTCAGGCCAGTCTTCAGTTGACCTGATAATCAATCCTAATTGGGAATCCTAATTTGTGTTGCTCCAGTTATCCTGAGAGTATTGTGGTATGAATCTAAAAACGCATTTATTTATTTTTAGTAAAATCCACAGGACTTAGTGGCAAAGTGCCTTAAAAGATATAGCCGATAATGGTATTGGACTGCCATATGGTGTTAGTTTTAAGGAGCCAGGCTCTTATGGTAAATCAACTATGAAAAGATTGCTCTAACTGCCCATTTCAATTGAGGTAATTTCTATATACTAGTTTGTCAACAACATTTACAACAGCCTCTGGGCAATGCAGACGAACCCCAGAAACTTTCTTTCTGTATGAGTGTTTTGTCATGTATTGTGTGAATTTTTTCTTCTATAAAATTTGGTGTGGTTCTGCACCAATAGTCATTTAGGGCATTGAAATCACAGACGAATCTGTATGCAC